AGAAGGGTATTGTACCATAGTTGTTTGATTTGCTGCTGAATTTTGGCATCATGGTTTATAGATGCAGGGGAAAAAGATTTTAGGGGCTGCAAATGGACCTTTACAGCACAAGTTCCCCCATCACCTTTTTTTTTTTAATTAAAGGATGAATGAAACATATCAGAAGAGCTCAGGGGCACATTTATAATTGTATGCAAACATTTCAGTCTCTCCTATTTCTAGTTCATATAAACATAGAATAATACAGTAGATGCAAGATACAATGTTCAGTTCAATTAAAGTGTTGAATAATGTTTAATTTCTGCATCAATTAAGTAAACAGAGTAAGCTATTATAAGTCTTGTGATGTTATTGTAATACTAGGTTTATTACCATTTGAGATTCTCTTAAAAGTTTATGATGACTCATCTATTCATTCAAATTAGAGGCCACCCAACTCTGGACATTTTATGGCAGGGGTCCTCAAACTTGGTCACTTTAAGACTTTATGTCACCCCTCGTCCTTCATTAAACTATACATACCCAATTCCAGCAATTGTTCTTTATATATTTTAGTCTCCAGTCCCCTAATCATCGTTGTTGCTCTTCTCTGTAGAGAAAGAGTCTCAACTCTTTCTCTAGAAAGAGTCTCAACATCTTTTTTACATCGTGGTGACCAAAACTGGATGCAGTATTCCAAGTGTGGCCTTACCAAAGCGTTGTAAAATGGCATTAACACTTCACGTGATCTTGATTCTATCCTTCTGTTAATGCAACCTAGCACTGTGTTGGCTTTTTTGGCAGCTGCAGCAAACTACTGGCTCATATTTAAGTGATTGTCTACTAGGACTCCGAGATCCCTCTCACAGTTACTACTATTAAGCCAGGTACCACTTATACTGTACCTGTGCATTGGGTTTTTCTTGCCTAAACATTAAGCATGGACTAAAAGCTCACATGACTGATCAATCAAGTCTCTAACAGACTGTGAAGTAAAATAGCATATAGGTTTCAAGGCCCAAAGATGGCAGTCCAGTGATGAAGAAAGAATACCACCTCCCTGAGTAGGATCCAGATAAAGGAAAATGTCAGAAGAACTGCATAGACTTGCCCATGTAGTGCTAGGAGATAAGACTAAGGCACAATTAAATGAATAAATTCCACAAGGGTAGGTTCCAATATCTCAGGGTTTGCCACAAGGAAGAGGGAGTCAAGCTATTCTCCAAAGCGCCTGAAGGTAGGACAAGAAGCAACAGATGGAAAATAACCAAAGAGAGAAGCAACCTAGAACTAAGGAGAAATTTCCTGACAGTTAGAACAATTAATCAGTGGAACAACGTGACTCCATAAGTTGTGAATACTCCAATACTGGAAGTTTTTAAGAAGGGACTGGACAGCCATTTGTCTGAAATGGTATAGGGTTTCCTGCCTAAGCAGGGGGTTGGACTAGAAGACGTCCAAGGCCCTTTCCAACTCTATTATTATTGTTGTTGTTGTTGTTGTTATTGTTTGTCTATACCAGTGATGGCAAACCTTTTAGAGACCGAGTGCCCAAAAACCGCCCCCTCCTGCCCACTGGGCCACCCACCACCTCCATGGCCCACCACAGATCACCCAGGCATCCCAGCAGCGCCATGGTGGCCACGACCTCTGCCCATGCCCCACAGCATCATCTGCGCGTGACGGGGCGCAAGGGCAGAGTCTTGTCCCTGCTGCCCGGCTACCATGTCCTTGGCTGCGCTGCTTCGCGTGGGCTGCGCCCAGGGGTGACTCTCTTCCGGGGGGGCTGCTGGTGAGGAGGGGGCCGTGGGAGGAGGCGGGGCTGGGGAGATGGTGCGTGTGCCCACAGAGAGGGCTCCAAGTGCTGCCTCTGGCACCCGTGCCATAGGTTCGCCACCACTGGTCTATACCATTTTTCCTGTCAGTTGGTTACTTAGATTGTAAATATGAAAAAAATAGCACTTACCTTTTTTCTGTGTAAACAGGAACAGTACGGAGTTTTGAAAACTGCCCCAAAACTGAAAGCTTATTTGAAAAAAATTGGGAGTGTTGATATTCAGAAATAATCTGAAATGGCAGCTAATTGTGAGGCACAAAGAATCAGGTCCAAAGGTGAAGAGTTCAAATTTACTGATTTATTGCTCAAGCTCTGCACAAGAATCTTCTCAACTGATGGTTTGCCCTAGGTAAAGCTAAAACTCTTAAAATGATTCCTTGTCTGACTCCTTTTCTTGGCTCTGCCAGTCTCCTACATCACCCCTTCCTCAAAACAGCCCTCCCCTTCTTCCATAGGATCTTCAAAACAGCCCTCCGCTTCTTCCATGGCCTCTTCCTCATCTGAGTTCTCACAGGAACTTGGGAGGGGCGGAAGCAAAGCTGTTTCAAAGGAGACCTCCTCCCCCTCATCTAAAGAATACTTTGAAGCAGGTGGTGGACTGTAAAACATCTAGATGACTAGCAGGTTTCTCCTCTTTTCCCTTGAGAAGTGAAGGCCAGAACTGGACGCTTGGACCGTCCAGTCTCCCTGAAGGTATGCACTCGGTCTGGTAAACCCCTTCACTTAGATTCTTTGGGCGGTGTAGGGCACAGAGTTGGGAATTTGGAAGTTTGTGGCTTTTCAGGGAAGTATTGGTGGAATTGCTGCACCAAGTCAGGGAAATGGACATACCTGGCATATTCTCATCGACATTTGGATTCTGGGTACCCCTTCCACTGCATCAAATTCTGTGTGCTTTTGCCACTTTGCCTAGAGACCAGAATTTCTTCTATTTTGTATTCCTCCCCACCCCCTATAATTACTGGCAGTGGCTGTAGGTGCTATGAGCATTCGCTGTTTGACTAGCAGCGAATGGTGAAAAACTGGGTGGACTTTCATGGAGGGTGGCAATTGCAAATGAAAGACCACAGGATTGATCTGCCGGAGGACCATAAATGCCCTCTGAAGTTGGTATCCAGCTTCTTAGAGGGCCTAGGAGAAACAAAGAATTTGGTAAAGAGCCACACTTCGTCTCCTATAGCAATTGGTAGCCCTTTCTATCAAAGGGCACCTGCAGCCTTCCTTCTTGTAAGACTGTTTAGACTGTTCCAGCTGCTGTTTGAATGGTGCTTGGGCAGCCATCTGCTCCTGCAAAATAATTAACTGCCCCTGGGATGGTGCCCTCCTCCCTCGAAGCCACTGGTAAAACCCTCGGGTGTCTGCCATGCAGAGCTTGACGGGGGATCATAGTAATCAATCTGTGTAGATTGTTATTGTAGGAAAATTCTGCTAGGGGAAACAATGAGAGCCAATTACCTTCACTGCAGATGTAGTAACATCTTAAGTATTGCTGGAGCATCTGGTTAGTTTTCTCAGTTTTACCATTCATGGCTTGAGGACAAGCTAACCTGGAGATTCAAAAATTGTAACTGTCTTTCAGAACCTGGAAGTAAATTGACTGCCCCAGTCCGATACAAGTATGGACACCATGTGATCCAAAAAGAGTTGAGCTGTTTCTTTGGTAATGGGCAAACTTTGCAAGGCATAAAATGAGCCATTTTGGTAAAAAGTTCTATAACTGGTATGAATTTATAGCCATAGACCAGAGGTAGGTCATATAATAAAATCCATAGAAATAGTATGCCGAGGATGGGGTGGGGTTGGAGGAGGTTGTAAGAGGCTTGCTGGCTTCTGATGATGGTAACTAATTATAATCCTATGCATCTGGCCCAGAGGAAGGCTATTATAGTTTCTTTCTTGTACTTCATTGAGAAGTTTTGGCAGGATTGCTACTCCAACTCATTCCCATTTTCTTCAGTCCAGCCCAATGGAATATTGAAAATCAATTATTTGAATAGGCTCAAGACTGCCAGCAAGGTAACTGAAGTTAGTGTAGGAGAGGAAGCCAGCAACAACAGAAAGATAAGGTATAAAACTGAGCTGGTAAAAGAAAATTCAAGGGAAAAAATTCTCCATTATCGTACATCCATCCGTGTGGGGAAAACAATTTGACTGTGGACTGGAATGTTGCCTGCTACTCCATTCTAAGGCCTCCATTTTTCTCAGGCACATGAGCTCTTACTAAAGAGCTGGCAAGAGTTCCAGAAGCTATATTTTGTATGTAGCTTCTACCTTGTTCCTTTTTTTACTTCAAGAGAAGTGTTTTTTTTTAATATGCCAGGAGTTGCTTAAAGCTCTTTTCAGAATACTGTGTAGTTATAATCATGAGGAAAAGTTACTGCTTTGAAAAATATTTGTCATTTTTTCCAGTGTGCATCAAGACTCAAGGTCTACCTTCTGAGTTGGATGGGGAGAGGCCAAGAAAATGAGTATGATCAATATTAAAAGTATTCATTGAAGAGCCCATCTTCTCTCCAACACCCCAACTATTTTAATTCAAATAAGCAAAAGTGATCGTTGATGTGTTATCTTTTTGGTAAAGTGGAGGGGAAGAAGCAATTTTCGATCTTTTTATATTGGCTTTGAAATCAGAACTTGTGAAAGAAGTTATTTATTATGATCCTTCATCCTATATGCTTTATGAAAATTAACCATATGCATTTTTGTTAGCACAATATGCAGGGGCTTTTTTCCACTACTTGTCAGAGGAAGAACAAAGAAATCAACTTTTCAGAAACATAGGTTTGTAGGATTTCAGTTGCTCTTGATCACATGCTACTAAACATTTAAAAACTGTTCTGCCTTACAAGATCCTAGCCAAAATTCCTGTTTGTTTTTTTTAATGGAAATTTTCATAATGCTTTTTTCTGGAATTAATAATCTAAAATTCCTTAAATTCTATTCCATCTTCCCCAAATTACTCACTAGACCAAGTCAGATGCCTTCCCTTGTCCAAGATTAATCAGTCTAAATGAAGAAGATGCAGCATATTAACTATTCTGAATTATGTATCGAGGGGAAGCCTTCTGAAAATGTATATGAACCCATCCCTAAGGTCATAATAAATGAATAGAAAATGAATGGGTAAAAATAGATAAAATACTATAAAGTCAGAAATGCTCACTGGTTCATTTTTTAATTTCAGGTTCATGTTGGGAAAAGGTTTGAAACGCAAGCTGAATGATTATGAAGAGAACATGGCTGGTGTGTCAAGTGCCTTTGATTCCAGTCGAAACCTGCCATACCCACTCAAACGTCAGTTGGTGCTCAATGTTTGCCTTGCCAAGTTACAGACATATAAGATGTTGGTGGAACCAAATTTACATCGTTCTGTGCTTATAGCCAATACGGTCAGACAAATCCAAGAAGAGATGAGGCAAGAAACTAGCCAACAGTCTGTTAACATGTGCAGTGGTTTAAGTACCACCCCTTCTAATTACTTAGGTTTTGATTTGTTTGGAATGCCTTCACACTTTCTGCCTGGTATTATTCAACCGGAATCATATGGTTACGAATCACGGTCTATGGAAAGTCCAATTGAAAATAGCTTGTTGATGGTTTCAGATAATGACATGTCATCAGCCATTTCCTCTATTCTAAAAGATTTGGACTTCATGGAAGATGTGAGTCCACCTTCTTACTTGGCTGGATCTGGAGATGATCAATTCAAGACTTCTGAAATGTCAGTTCTTAAATTAGAAGAAGATAGACAAGACTTGAAAGGAGTAGAATGTGTGTTTGGTTCCTTTGAAATTTCAAATTCAACTAGTTACTTGAAGGACTTAGCTATTGATGACATATTTGAAGATATTGACACTTCAATGTATGATTCAGACTTTGATTGCCCCTCATCAACTTCTCCAAGAACACTGTCTGTGGCAACAACAGAAGAAATGTTGAAGACATTCCCTTCTTGCAATTCTTCCTCAGCAAACAACATCCCAATATGCAGAAGTGATATCACAGATTTAGACCATATTATGGAAATACTTGTAGGGTCCTGACACATTTGCTAGCCCAAAGATACATTTTCCTAAGTTGCCATACAATGCTGGTTTAAAGATAAGTCCCAAAGGGAGAGCAGACTTCAAAGTGTTATGCCACAAAGGCAGCTACAGTCATTTTTCTTCAATGGTTCTCAAAACCTCCCTAAAATTCCTATAAACCAAAAAAAAAAGTGACAGTCTGTTAGATAAAATGGAGTATTTATTAAATCAATTGTGCAATCTTTTTAACCTTTTTAGGCTATACATGAGTATATCTCATGTGTTTCTAACTTTTTAATGTGCAATTTTAATCTGTGAAGGATTTGCAGAACAGTGATTTTCATAAGGGGAAACATCTGAAGTCTAAAGATTTATTTTTAGTATTACATTATTGGCATTCACTGAAATTGCATACTTGGATTTGCAGCCTCAGTACAGTATATTTCTAAAGTATTTAAGGAACTATAGATCTCTTCCCTTTGATTGAAGATTCTAGATACTTGGCAGCAAAATCTCTTGCATTTTATAAAACATTTAAAATTATTTATTTTTGTAAATTTTATAGCCTTTTTACATTTTACTACAATATTCTAGATTGGAGATGAATTTCTGGTTGGATGTGGCTGGCACTACCTCTGTTAGCAGAAATGCTTTAACTCTTTGCTTTGTCTAACACTGCAGATCTTTTAGTTTTCTTGGATGATATTTCTGGTGGTAGAAGCAAACACGGCAATTTGCTGATTGGTTAAATTTTATTGTATTTAACTGTAATTTATATGTATATTGTCAAATTTTAGAATTTTGTCAGTATTATGTGCATCAATTTGGAGGTAATATGGCTTTTTACAATTTAGTATTTTCTGTATAGTTTGAGCTATTTTAATTCTCTGAAACAGAATGTTAGATTTTATGTGCAATATATCACTTAAGCAGGCCACTTTTGCACATCCTACATTATAAGGAAATACATAAAATCTAAATGATGGAAATTTATAATACTGTGTTATCAGAGGTATGCAATTCTGTCTGCTGGCAGCTCTGTAAGAGTTGAATATGGCTTGCCTAAGCACCGCTCTGATTTTGTACATTTCCTTTTCTTAAAATGGAACTTCAGTTGTCCAAAGTGCTTGCAATGGATTGTATCTTCTTAGTGGCAGTTTTTATCTTGGTTTGGCCAAATAAAGTTCTAATTGAGTAGAAATCCAGCAAATTATGCTGCCATTTAAGAGTTAGTAGTCTGCCTACATAAGAATTACACTTCAAATTAAAGAATAGTTTTTTGCCACAACTTAAGATGGGTTTGACATTTGCACATAATATGCCGAAGTGTTCAATTCATTGTGTACAAAGCCTGTCCTAGTCCAGCTTTGGTGCTATTTGGCAGACTGTCTTAGTGCTGGCACCATTTGAGGACAGCTCTGTATTGCCAAAATGTTGACATTCCAATGACAAGCCTGTGCTGTTCCATAGTCATAGAAGCAGCACCTGTTCACTTCATACTGAAGACACATAGCCATTCTTATGTTCTAACGTTGCATCCCTGAGGGATCCAGTAAATTTGAAAATGATATAATAAACCACTCATTGAGCAAGCAACACAATAGATGTAGATAAGTAAAAAAAAGGTGGGAGAAACAGGAAAATATTACCATTCTATCTACTACCAGATAGACTTTTATGTATGTACATATCCACATACTCCTCATTGCTTCCAATGCTAGCAAACTTAATATTTATAACTAACAACCTGCCTCCAGAAGCAGTGAATGCTCCAACACTGGAAGCTTTTAAGAAGAGACTGGACAGCCATTTGTCCGAAATGGTATAGGGTTACCTGCCTGAGCAGGGGGTTGGACTTGATGACCTCCAAGGTCCCTTCCGACTTTATTATTATTATTAACTAAGTTTTCTAGGAGGATGGGAGGTACTTTTTAAAAATGAACTATAGTATACACATTGGCTAATCTTCATCTGAATTTCAGTAGAAGCTGCTTATAGTATAGTCATTTTTTGATGATAGGTTCTTGGCATGGAGATTACTTAGCAGGTTGGATTCCTTAAAATAATCTATTGGGGCTAACCCTCCATTGAGAATCTCATCGTTACATAACTAGCTGCACAAATAGCACCTTTCATTTCCATCTCTCATTTTTTGTGGTGTTGGAACCAATCCACTACTCAACTTGAAATGCAATGAGATTCGGATCACCTGATGTAGTTGCTGCATTGAATATATGTAGCATTGCATTTAGGGAATGAAAGGGAGCTTCTTTGAAGCTGAATACCCAGTACCACTATAAGAGAAGTAGAGTCGGACATCCATGGTGCAATACTAATACCAGCTGCAGAAATGCCAGGAAGGATTTCTGATTAGTCTTAGATTGAAGGACTATTTGGGCCTTAAAGACTGCAATTTAGAGTAAAAACTAGCCTATTGACAAAGCAACTACTGTAATGTTAGAATATGGTTGATGCATTCATAAGAGTAGTGATCATCAGGATGTAATCGTGGCTATTGCTATCCTGTATCAATGTTATTTCTCTTCATTCTTTCTACTTCACTGTACAAAAGGAATCCTCCAAACATCAGTGGAACATTAAGATTTTGCCTTATGTTTAATCTTCAGCAAGCATCAAATGCAGTCTTTTGTTGAAAACCCGTGATTGTTTCTTTTATTTACTACTGGTTCTTTACCTTGCACCCAACTTGAGTTATGATGGAGCTGGATTCTACAACTAATGCCAAGTCAATCCAGTTTTATTTGCTTAATGCATACTTTGGCAGGTGAAATGTATTTATATGCATAGGAGATTTGCAGTTACATCTAAACCATAGCAGGCCCTTTTGCAAAACATTTTCTATCCTTTATGTAGAAAGGATTAAGTAAAAAGAATTTATACAGTTTGTGCATAATGCTTCTTTGTACCTAGAAAATTAATCTAAAAGTGGTAAGGGTCCTCTGCACTATGATAAAGCAGACTAGTGGCTAAAACTATTTTTAAAAATTCCCTTAATAAATATTCATATTTAATTTGTTGTAAGCTTAAAGATACGATCAAGTAGCTGAACTGCACAAGTTACATACCAGTGGCAGCAACATGCAGATTCGCTGCCAACTGTTGATTAGGCATTGCCAAAGTAGTTCTGGCTTGAAATAAAGGTTAGGTCTTATGTACAAGCTTTCCTGGACGGTAAAGATGTTGATTCTTCTCTAATCATGATTTCACATCCTTCTCATCTTCAGAATACATTCCAAAGTGGTTTCCAATCTTACCTGAAACACTGGCAAAAATAATTCTTGAACATAAACAATGCCATAAGCATTGTGTTTTTCACTTTTTCAGGACATAGAAGCCTCTGGTCAACTTCTAGCTTCAGAAAAGGAAAGAGATCCCACCTAATTTCAAACTTGTATTTCTTTTGTGAAATGGGTAGTCCTCGGGTTACGGCACAAATAAGCCTGGAATTTCCATCACTAAAGCAGCCAAAGTTGAATATTACATGACTGCATAGCTTAGCAATGGCAATTCTGGCAGCCGTTGTAACTCGGGACCATGCAGCTTCTTAGGTGGGAAAAACTGGGAATCGTAGGCTGTTCAGGGGCAATAAAGCTTCATGGTCCCTGTGGATTTTCCCATTGACTTTGCTTGTGGAAGCCAGCAGGGAAGGTCACAAATTATGATTGTGATTGCAGCTTCCTACAACATTGTCACGAGCTGAGCCCCCAAGTGTTGATCACAACTGCAGGGATGCTGTGAAGACCACAACTTTGCTCACCGGCCATAAGTGCCCTTATTTAACACCTCATAATTTTAATTCACCACCTAAGAGCTTACATTACAGCAAGAAAAAGAGTGTGATGTTATTTTAAGCAACAGACTAGCAGCAAGAATATGTGCAGCGGCTGTCAATGGTTGACTGGCCATCTTAGGACAAATTATTTCCTTTAACGTGTCAAACTTGTTCAAGGTAAGACTTCTTCTGCTTTCAAGTTGTGNGAGAACGAATGTCACATGTCCTGAGGGGCTCAAAAGGAGATTTAGTAATAGCCCGAAGCACCCTTGACAACTCCCACGAGGGGTATCTGTGTACCACAGGAGGATTTTGGTTGGAGGCTCCCTTAAGGAACGACCTTACCAAGGGGTGATGACCCAGTGATTCAGCAGAGTCGCATGAGAGGATTGTAGACAAAGCTGCAACTTGCCTGCGAAGGGTATTAGGGACTAAACCTTTTTCTAGACCTTCCAATAAATAATCCAAGATAATTGGCACAGTAAGTGCCGAAAGTGACAACTTCCTCCCGGAACACCATGATTGGAAATTTTTCCATGTGGCCTCATATATGCGGTTCGTGGACGGACGGCGCGATGCCTGAATAACCTTTATAACCCCTTGTGAGCAGCTTTCTCCAGTTAAGATCGAGCGCTCAAGTGCCAGACGGCTAACTGGAGCCACTGGGGTTTGGGATGCAGAATGGGGCCTTGGCTCAGGGAGACCTGATCCGGCGGAATCCGCCAAGGGTCGCTGACTGAAAGATTCACCAGATCTGCGAACCAAGGCCTCCGTGGCCAAAAGGGTGCCACCAGGAGAACCTCCGCTTGCTCCTGAAGAATCTTGCGGATTACCGCTGGTAGAATTGGCAGAGGGGGAAATGCGTAAAGCAAGCCCTGCGGCCAAGGACTCCGAAGGGCATCCGTCCGTTCCGCCCCCACCGTCGGAAAACGGGAGAAAAAATGTTGAAGATGGGCATTGTACTGGGACGCGAAGAAGTCCACTAGAGGAAGACCAAAACGGAGGCAAACCTGGAAGATCCTCGGGTGGAGTCTCCACTCCGCGTGATCTATCGTCGACCTGCTCAGAAGATCGGCCTGTGTGTTTGCTACCCCCGAAATATGGTCTGCCATGATAGATGCCAGATTGCGTTCCGCCCAGAGACCCAACGAAAGAGCTTCGGACATCAGGCTCCGAGATCGAGTGCCCCCTTGGCGATTTATATGTGC